TGGTTTGTTTCTCTGCTCAGTTGGCGTTTCTGTGTGGAGTTTGCATGTTCTCCCTGCGTTTGCGTGGGTTTCCTCCGGGTGCTCCGGTTTCCCCCACAGTCCAAAGGCATGCGGTACAGGTGAATTGGGTAGGCTAAGTTGTCCGTAGTGTATGAGTGTGTGTGTGTATGGATGTTTCCCAAAGATGGGTTGCGGCTGGAAGGGCATCAGCTGTGTAAAAACTTGCTGGATAAGTTGGCGGTTCATTCCGCTGTGGCGACCCCAGATTAATAAAGGGACTAAGCCGACAAGAAAATGAATGAATGAATGAATAATTTGCCATGAGGTCTGCTTCGTTGTATAATACCATTCACAATTTGGGGGGGGTCATTAAGAATTTTAGTTACATCCAATGATACAGTACTCATGGGAAGGCATTTATAATATTTAGAAAGATATCTATTTATAAATTAAAAGCTGTTCAGATGACTATTCTATTCAATAATAAAGCATATATATAGTAATATAGCTATGCATTCATATTTAGGCTATAATATATATGTATATGCATGCATATATACATCAAGGTAGCGATAAATAGGTCTATATAGCTAGTTATCTCTATATATATGTCTCTATACATATATATATATCTGTATATATCTATATATATATATATATGTATATATATATGTGTATATATATATATATATATATATATATATATATATATATATATATATATATATATATATATATATATATATATATATATATATATATATATATATATATATATAGGTCTTGATTTTCGAAAGTATTACAGTGCTTTTTAAACATTTATTATTACCATTTGTTGATTCTGCCCACATACAATTTAATAGATAGATAAACAGGTTGTATATTCATAACAAATTGTAAGGATCTTCATAAAAAATTTTGTTTCCTGTATCAAAAGCAACGCTCTTTTCTCATAACTGATAAAAAGACTTCTATTCGCTTTCTTGTATAGCCACTACATAAAAATTGTGGAGGTTAAATACTAAACATGTATTTTTTACAGTATTTATGATGAACATGAATGAATGTCTGTCAGAACACTTTATTAATTTTTGAGATCCATCCATTTCAATACATGCATAGATTAAGTTCCATACCTAATAAATCACATGTATATTTATAACATTGAACAAACATAATTTAACTTTGGGCGGCATGGTGGCTCAGTGGTTAACATAATCGCCTCACAGCAAGAAGGTTGCTGGTTCGAGTACCTGCTGAATCACTTGGCATTTCAGTGTGGAGATTGCATGTTTTCTTTGTGTTCACGTGCGTTTCCTCCGGGTGCTCCGGTTTCCTCCACAATCAAAGACATATGCTATAGTTGAATTGAATAAACTATATTGGCCGTAGTGTATGAATGTGTGTGTGAATGAGAAAGTATGGGTGTTTTCCAGTACTGGTTTGTGACCAGAAGGCCATCCGCTGTGTAAAACACATACTGGAATAGTTGACTGTTCATTCCATTGTGGTGACCTCAGAAATAAAGACTAAGCCGAAGGAAAATGAATGAATGAAATACAAAATCTGTATTTTTTGTCAATATTTATGATGATGAATGTGAGTGAGTATACTTTATTAAATTTTGACATCCATCCATATCAACAAATGCATATAGATTAAGTTCAATTATCTAAATTGCTTCAAATTTTGCAATACCCAATAAATCACATGTAAAATTATGGAATGAACATAATTTAGGTTTGTCCACAGTTAATTTCTCTCATAAAATAAATGTTTCAGTGCTACATCACTATTCTCCTTATATAGGGATTAAATATAAATCATTTTTTCCCTATATTATAAATTTAGGGCGGTGGCTCAGTGGTTAGTACTGTCATCTAACAGCAAGAAGGTCGCTGGTTCAAGTCCCGGCTGGACCAATTTGCATTTCTGTGTGGAGTTTGCATGTTCTCCCTGACATGTGCTATATGTGAATTGAATAAACTAAACCGGCCATAGTGTATGTGTGTGAATTAGTGTGTATGAATGTTTCCCAGTATTGGGTTGCAGCTGGAAGGGTATCTGATGCATAAAACATATGCTGGATAAGTTGGCGGTTCATTCCGCTGTGGCGATCCCTGATGAAAATAGGCGACAGCAGCAGAACACCACACTGGGTGCCACTCCTGTCAGCTAAGAACAGGAAACCGAGTCTACAATTCGCACAGGCTCACCAATCTGCACAATGGAAAATTGGGAAAACATTGCCTGGGCTGATGAGTCTTGATTTCTGCTGCAACATTCAGACGGTAGGGTCAGAATATGACATGGATCCATCCTGCCTTGTATCAATGGTTCAGGCTGCTGTCATGGTGTAATGATGTGGGGGACATTTTCTTTGCACACTTTGGGCCTATTAGTACCAATTGAGCATCGTGTCAACACCACAGCCTACTTGAGTATTGTTACTGACGATGTCCATCCCTTTATGACCACAGTCTACTCATCTTCTGATGGCTACTTCCAGCAGGATAACGCACCATTTTAAGGGTGCTTTCACATCTGTAGTTTGCTTAATTTGGTCCGGACCAAGCGCAATAAATGATTCGTTGTTGCATCTTCTGCCGTCTTTGGGTCGTTTTCACACCACTCTGCTAGCTTTGGTCCGAACCGGTTGAAACGAACCAAAATGCAGTCATCTGACAAAATCCACATCTCTCATTGGCCAGATGTTGTTGAACATATTTCCCAAACTGCTTATTGATTGGTCAGAATTCACGTGCGGGAAAATGCCAGTGAACTCCCGCAGGTAAACAAAACCTTTTACTCTGGAGGGACGACTGCGCTGGCTAATTGTATCCCTGCTTTAGACAAACTATACATTAAGAAAATGAAGCGCGGCCGCGGCTGAAAAAACAGTGTTTTAATGCATCGCTCGTCACTTCAGGAGGAGGCGTGAATTCATTTAGCTAAACTGCAACATGGTCATCTTGCGGAAATATTACCAACGATCCATCAGGTAGTGTTTTCCCCTCTCTCTCTCTCTCTCTCTCTGTTGGTAAAGCGCTGTCAACAAATAGTTTTCCTCCATATCCCATAATGCGCAGCGCATTGGCCTACGGCAGCTGAATTAGTCCAAAACAAGCAGTACTTTTTGCGGTTGGACCTGTTTTAGTTCGGATCATATTCTCACCACAAACTAACCGGTCCAGGGTCTTGAAAGCGTACCGAGACCACCTCTTCAAGCAAGTCTCGGTGCGCTTATTTGGTCCGGTTTTGGTGCGCACTCGAGTACGATTGCTGCATTCACACCTGCCCAAACGAACCGCACCAAAAGGGGAAACGAACTCTAGTGCGATTCAATCGAACTAAATAAGGCAGGTGTGAAAGCACCCTAAGAGTTCACACTTAGCTGATAATTAATAAAGCGTAATTGGCATGCTGTCTCTGGAGAGAGCCCTGAGCTCTTAATATCCTCAAGCTCGGGTCTCCCTCCTGTTAGAAGAGCGAGAGGGGAGTTCGAGCTCAGGTCTGCTTGTCGCCATGTGAGAAGTGTAAACTAAGGTTGTCTTTGTTGATAATTTGGTTTAGTCGATTGGCTATGGTGTATGTTTTTGGACGGTGGGAGGAAACCAGGAAACACGGGGGAAACCCACGCAAACACTGGGAGAACATTGAAACTCTGCACAAATACGCCAACCGGCCTGATAAAAGGTTGAACCAGCGATGTTCTTGCTGTGAAGTAACAGTGCTAGCCACTGGGCCACCGAGAAGTAGGTGAGAAGTAGGGGTGGAAACTTCAAGACCGAAAAAGGGTGAGAAGTAGGGGTGGAAACTTCAAGACGAAGATAACTGGAGGAAAAAACTCTGGTTATTTATAATGCTTCCGTAATCATCTAATAGGGCTGATTACGGAGCTAATGAGGTGTCAGCTGTGTTAAAAGCACGTGATCCTCTCGAAATTAGTTTATAACCCCACATCATAAAGCACGAATCATCTCAGACTGGTTTCTCGAACATGACAACGAATTCACAGTACTCAAATGGCCTCCACAGTCGCCAGCCCTCAATCCAATAGAGCCCCTTTAGGATGTGGTGGAACGGGAGATTCGCATCATGGATGTGCAGCCGACAAATCTTCAGCGACGGCGTGATGCTATCATGTCAATATAGAGCAAAATATCTGAGGAATATTTCCAGTATCTTCACTGCAAAAAATGATTTTCTTACCTAAATTTTTCGTCTTGTTTCTAGTCCAAATATCTACAAATTCTCAAATCAAGAAGCATTTTCTAGACAAGCAAAACATATTGTCTTGTTTTAAGAAAGAATATGCCAAAATGAAGTGAGTTTTTCCTCAAATCAAGCTAAATAATCTGCCAATGGGGTAAGCAAAATAATCTTGATTTTCGATTTGTGATAAGATTATTTTGCTTACCCCATTGGCAGATTATTTGTTGTTGAATCTATGCCACAAATGATTAAGACATTTCTGAATGCAAAAGGGGGTCCAACACAGTAGTAGTAAGGTGTACCTAATAAAGTGGACGGTGAGTGTATGTCACACTTCGGGGAAAAAAGGACAATCCAACTTTTTTTTTTCATGGCAACTTTAAACAAACCTGTGTACAGTATTGCATTCACACTGTGGCCATCTGGTGGTAGAAGTAATGAATAGCACTTTTCAAAACATTTATAAAATAAAACATGAATTAAAATACCATAGGATACAATCAAATCAAATGTTGCAGTGATAATAAATAACTTGAAAAATAATCAAATTTACCAGTTCAACATGCTTTTTGTTAATTTCTAAGTAGTTGCAATTCTTTATTAAAAATTAGTTTTGAATGATTTTCAAGTTAAATGCCATGTATTTTGTTCACGTTGAACAGCTTACGTCCATCTTGGAGAAACAGCCCCACAATTGGTGACAGGACTCAAAAGGGAGGTGCTGCTGGGAGTTGCTTTCCTATAAATCGGGGCTCTCTAATACACACAGTGCTGTTGCCTGGAGGGTAAAGTCATGCTGATTATTATAAAATGGATTATATGTTCTCTGTTTATTTGTTTGGATTTTTGTTCACTTGTGTGAAATAATATCTATTAGGAAAATAATGTAGGAGCAGTTTAAAAGTGTTGACAGTTAACCTTTTTGTTCATTGCAGAAGGTGGAATCAGAATAAATGGATGACCATATCAACATCAGCCAAACTGAGTCCTGGGAAAAGCCTCTTCTCTGTTATGAGTTTAGTAACAGGTCTTGTCAGAAGTTTGTTTATCCTTTGGATACTCGTATATTGCTATATATGCTTTTCAGCATCTCTTCAATAATCACAATCATAGGAAACCTGCTGGTGATCATAACGGTCGTTCATTTCAGGCAGCTTCACACGCCGACTAACTACCTCATCTTGTCTCTGGCTGTGGCCGATCTGCTTGTCGGAGGAGTTGTGATGCCTCCCAGCATGCTGCGCTCCATCGAGACCTGCTGGTATCTGGGAGATTTGTTCTGTAAGATCCACAGCAGTCTTGATGTCACATTGTGCACCGCTTCAATCCTAAACCTCTGCATCATTTCTTTAGACAGATATTACGCCATATGTCACCCGTTCCAATATCACAGTAAAATGACGTCGCTTGCCACATTGGTTATGATTATCATCTGCTGGACTGTTTCGGCTGTTCTGGGCTTTGGCATGATCTTCATGGAGCTGAATATTCTCGGTATTGAAGATTTTTACTATGAGAACATCAGATGTGATGGTGGCTGCTTTGTGTTTCAGAGTAAAACCGGAGGAACTGTGTTCTCACTGATCTGTTTTTATATTCCTGCATTTGTCATGCTCGGTGTGTATCTTAAAATCTTACATGAAGCTCAGCGGCAGGTTCAGGCCATCCAGAGTGTGAATTCTGAACTGAAGAAAGAGGGAAAAGCCACTAAGACTTTAGCCATCATCATGGGAGTCTTTCTGACATTCTGGATTCCCTTTTTCCTCTGTAATCTCATTGATCCATTAATCGGCTACTCTGTTCCTTCACTAGTCTTTGACTTGTTCCTGTGGGTTGGATATTATAATTCCACCTGTAATCCAATAGTGTACGCCTTCTTTTACAGCTGGTTCAGACATGCTTTCAGAGTCATTCTGTCCAAAAGAGTATTTCAGACTAATTCTTCAAGAACAATATTGATGTAATAATAAAGATGGTCATGTTTAAATACAGTTTTGTACTTCTTAACAGACCCTTTTCACTAAAAGAAGTGCAAATCTGTTATTTTAAACGCTTGTAAGTCTGGCCTACGTGATCTTAGTGCATATGAGTGCTGTATATTTTGTCATTCAGGGCACTTGTGAGTCCACAAGTGTTGATCTTTTCCCCTCTCAAGGACACTTATGAATCACTAATAAACAAAAATGCTGTTACACATATTTCCGAATGACTTTTTAAAATCTTTTTATGTCACACTAAAAATTTATTCTAATACAAAACTAATATTGACATTCAAAATACTGTATGGTACTACCGGGTGTATATTTTTCATCCTTGCTTGTATATGAATTATACACCGTTCTTTCTTTTAAAAAAAAACATGTTATCTTAGTTATTATGAAGATTGTGTTTCCATAAATCATTTACCTTGTTTCTCATTTCGGCTTGGTAAACTCTGGCTGAAGTGAACCACAAAATTTTTTAATTAATTTAAAAAGAGATGATTTTGAAATAAAATCCAAGATAATCTTCATCAAACTGTCATTAATGAATTTTCTTCTGTAGATTTCTTATATTATGCATAGCAACCGTCCGGAAGTCTGTTACATATGTTACTAAATGAAAACCTGTACAGTCTGAAGGGTAACGTCTAGATACAGCTGCGGATACGCACAACACCCCGATAAGCAAATTTCCTTTGGCCCTGATCTGGCCCAAATCAACAGCCCAGATCAGTTAGTGTTTACTGGCCCACATCCTTTTTAGCCAGAACTGAACCAAAGTAGTGCCACAACTCCATCAAACTTGAGCCAAGTAATACATTTTTATGCGGCTCAGATATGGGCCTTTTATTATAGATTATTAAGGCTGAGTTCTGTTACGCCCTTAGGTTGCCCACATGTGGGTAAATCACACAACAAAAATTACAATCAATAGTTTACTTTAATCAATGCAACTTACATTCAGATAAAACAATTCATTCATTCATTTTTCAGCTTAGTCCCTTTATTAATCTGGGGTTGCCAAAGTGGAATGAACCGCCAACTTATCTAGCACATGTTTTACGCAGCGGATGCCCTTCCTGCTGCAACCCATCTCTGGGAATCATCCACACACACTCATTCACACTCATACACTACGGACAATTTAAGCTTACCCAGTTCACCCTAGCCGCATGTCTTTGGACTGTGGGGGAAACTGGAGCACCCGGAGGAAACCCACACGAATGCGAAGAGAACATGCAAACTCCACATAGAAACGCCAACTGAACCAGCCAAAGCTTGAACCAGTGACCTTCTTGCTGTGAGGCGACAGCACTACCTACTGCGCCACTGCGTCACCAGATAAAACAATTATTGAACTAAATTTTGACAAATAAGGAGTTAGAAGTGGGGCGCAGTAGGTAGTGCTGTTGCCTCACAGCAAAAGGTCGCTTGTTTGAGCCTCGGCTGGGCCAGTTGGCGTTTCTGTGTGGAGTTTGCATCTTTTCCCTGCGTTCGCGTAGGTTTCCTCCGGGTGCTCCGGTTTCCAACACAAGATGGATCGCCCCGCATTGTCTATCGGCACAACCCTAGTTCCGATCAAATGTATCGAACCACAAATGTAAAACCCTAAGATACACCCTAAGATATTTAATGTGCACCCTAAGATACTGTATGTTTGCGTGACCGTGCTTGTGTTTCTTGCCTATGAAGGCCATTTTTGTCCATGCATAATGTTAATAAGGAAAACTGTAAATGAGATGTTTCATGTGCAGATGACTGATAAAATAATAAAATTGTTTTGCAGACTGCATGAAAGGGTGGTGGGTTTCTGTCATGACTGTGTTTGTCCACCAGATGCCACTGTAGTTCGCCAGCAACCCCCAGCGAACTACAGTGGCTTTTTGAACTACATTTCCATACATTCTTTCTCACACACACCCGGTCTGTCATCTACACTGATTTACAACCACAGCTGTCTCCGTTCTCCGTTGATTACCAGGACTATATATTCAATCATTCATCCTCTGTTTGTCAGTTGGTCGTTGTCCTTGTTGGTATGTTGTTCCCGATCTTGATCTTGATCTTGATCACCATAACGTGACAGAATGACCAGCTCACAAATAGATCCAGCAGATGACGTGATTGTGCATATTAAACAATGTAACCGCTCAATTGAGCGTTACGTTAAGGAGTTTTGGAGCTAGCCCCAAAGAGCTCTCACAGTGACCTTCTACTGATGATGTTCTTTCGGGGAGGACTTTTGGAACCAGTCCGTTCTCAGATGCCACCTTATGAGGAGGACTGGAAATGTAGTTCAGACCCGCTGGGGGTTGATGGCGAACTACAGTGGCATCTGGTGGACAAACACAGTCATGACAGGTTTGTTTAAACCTTTGGAGGCTGTGTTTGATTAACTGTTGATGAGGTTTTCTCAGATGTTATGGGATTTGACTAAAGGGAGGCTGTTTCGAACCTCTGGGGCTATAAATATACCCCCTGTGCTCTTTGCAGTAATTTTGATTTTGTGTAAGGAGAGGTAAGAGCTTGGTATATATGATTATAGTTGTATGTGTAAAATGTATTGTTTGGATTATTAGCATATAGAGTTTGTGTCTTCTGTGCAGATTTATTGTACTATTTGGGCAATTTATATTGAATGGATAGTAGCTTACTGTTATTTGTGTTGGATATGCTCTAAATTACATGTAATAATTAGAAATATTACAACTTGGAGGATAGAAATACCTGAAATTAATGATACAGATTAACTTTGTGCTTTGTTTTAAACAGAAACGCTCTAGTAAAGGGTGTAAATGGACATCCGGATAAACTTCAACCAATCTGAAATATTGGAAAAGCCCTTCCTCTGTTATGAGTTTAGTAACAGGTCTTGCCAAAAGTTTGTTCATACATTGGAAACGCGAATATTGTTCTACATTCTTCTTAGTGCCTCTTCAATAATCACAATCATAGGAAACCTGCTGGTGATCATAACGGTCGTTCATTTCAGGCAGCTTCACACACCGACTAACTACCTCATCTTGTCTCTGGCTGTGGCCGATCTCCTTGTTGGAGGAGTTGTTATGCCTCCCAGCATGCTGCGCTCCATCGAGACCTGCTGGTATCTGGGAGATTTGTTCTGTAAGATCCACAGCAGTCTTGATGTCACATTGTGCACCGCTTCAATTCTAAACCTCTGCATCATTTCTTTAGACAGATATTACGCCATATGTCACCCGTTCCAATATCACAGTAAAATGACGTCGCTTGCCACATTGGTTATGATTATCATCTGCTGGACTGTTTCGGCTGTTCTGGGCTTTGGCATGATCTTCATGGAGCTGAATATTCTCGGTGTTGAAGATTTTTACTATGAGAACATTAAATGTGATGGAGGATGTACACTGTTTCAGAGTAAAACCATAGCAATTGTGTACTCGCTGATCTGTTTTTATATTCCTGCTTTAGTCATTCTCTGTGTGTATCTTAAAATCTTACATGAAGCTCAGCGGCAGGTTCAGGCCATCCAGAGTGTGAATTCTGAACTGAAGAAAGAGGGAAAAGCCAATAAGACTTTAGCCATCATCATTGGAGTGTTTCTGACTTTGTGGGTTCCTTTTTTCCTCTGTAATCTCATTGATCCATTCATTGGTTACTCTGTTCCTCCGCTGCTGTTTGACTTGTTCTATTGGATCGGATATTATAATTCCACCTGTAATCCCATAGTGTACGCCTTCTTTTACAGCTGGTTCAGACATGCTTTCAGAGTCATTCTGTCCAAAGCAATATTTCAGACAAATTCTTCAAGAACTGTGCTGTTGTAAAATTAAACATAATGTAGCAATGGTTACTGATGTGTAATTTTCTGATTAGTAAATATTGCAGTTGAATTATTTTAATTTTTGCACTGTATGTGTTTTCTAAAATAAATATTCTAAACTAAAAAAAGCATGAATTAAATGTAATTTTTAAAATATTGTATGTGATATAAAGGTAAAACTCTCTTTTTTGATAGTTCACTTGATATATTACTTGACTGTCTGCTTAATATCTGTTGATCGGACTTTTTAATGACTATAAGAAACTTTGCAAGTACATGTCAACTTACACTAACCCCAACCTAACATTCTACTTGTAATCTAATGAGAGTTAGTTGGCATGTAGATGCAACATAACTTATATTGAACAAACGGACCATCAAAATAAAGTGTGACCGAAATAAATGCCTGAAATTTGATGATATAGATGTAGAGCTCCATGCATGTGCATTTCATTGACACTTCCCTAAGCTTTGTGCATTGTTCCCTAGTGTCTTCTCCTTCATTGCTCTCTACCTGAGCATGAGAACTCTCTTATTTTAGTTCAGAACGTTCATTCAAATATTTACACAGTCGTACTACCTGCAGCATCTTACTAGAGGAGGATGACATGTGACATAATATACTTCCATAAATAAATACAATATAAAGGAACATATCACATTTAAGTGAAGTTTATTCATAAACTAATTTCGAGAGGATCACGTGCTTATGATTTATCACGTCCAGTCTCGCATTTGCTAATCACTAGTCTTCCAATCATATGAGCCCTAAGGCACCATAAATAGTCTAAGTTTTCAGTTCACTTTATCTTCGTTTGGAAGAAGCAGCTTCACCGTAGCTAGCTCCGTTGAAGAACCAACTCTAAACCAGCATGGACAATAAAGCAGCAACAAGCTACAATCTTCAGGATCTTCATTTGGAAGAACGCTCTGCTCTGCTCATCAACTACAAAAGCTACAAGTGCTACAAGCTACAAAAGCTTCAAGCTACAATCTACAATATACAATCTAAAAGCTTCAATCTACAAGCTACAATATACAAGCTACAGCAACAACAACAACAACAACTACTATTGCTACCATTTCAAACAACTACAACTCCAACAATTTCATCAACAGCTTAAACAACAACACCAAAACCTTCCACTTCAAAGAGCCTCCACAACGCATCTGCTGTGTCTTCAACCTTATTTCCCAGCAAGATATAAGCCAAAACTCCAAAGCTATTGCAATAAAACGGAACCCTCACCTTCTCCTAGCAGTACACATGCTATCCATCGTTTAACAGATTGTTTGCTGGAATGTGTTCAGCAGAGCAGCAGCTCCAGCCACAAACAATGTTGAATTTGATCAACAAAATGGCCGCCAGGCTTTTTGCACCTTTTGCATGGCCTGACTGAAACTCCTTAAGCCAATAGCTGTAAAGATAAGCGTCTCCATCCAATGAGCTAAAAGACTGGAGATGGTCCCGCCCTCTCTCTTGACTCTGTTGCAAAGACCTTATGAATGAATAGGCCAGACACGCTTGTAAATTTAGTTAAAAAAAAAAAATAAAAATAAAAATAAAATTCCATTTGACATTTAACTTCTGAAAAGATTATTACCCAACCAGTAAATATTAACAAGCTATTGAAAAACATTATGCCATCAAGCACAGAAGTCCAATTGTAATACGCCAGCGACTCATGTGTTGATTTACAAGCGTCATATAAGATTATATAGCAAGTCAGTCGGATGTGAAAACGGCAAAGAAACAAACTTCCCACTTGACTGTTATAAATACAAATTTAAACTTCACTATCCCTTCACTTGCTCAGTCTTCAAGGGGTACCAGTTTTCCAGGACCACCAGACTAGCCATATCCCATGTCCTCAGCTCTCCATTCATCTGTCATCCCGTTAGGAGACGAACACCCACCCCTACCATCCTTGCACATCGTATCATTGAAGTCATCGGACCATGCATTATCAAAAGCGCTTCCATTTACAGCCGCCCATGCCCTTATTAAGATGCCTCGCATGGATATAAACTAAAACATTTTTCATGTCTGCCATACTTGTATTATTTTGCAAAGATTTAATTTCTGATTCTCTTTGTTTTTTCTATTTTAGAGATCATGACTGCTGGCTCCAGAAGCTGACCCTCATCCAACCTATTACACTCCACATCCTCTTCACAAAGGATACATTTCATTTTTCACTTTATCCAATCTGTCCTAACCTGCAGTCTGCAACCTCCGAACCTGAAACCGTCGATTATCTTATTAAAAAGAAATCGACAACAACTTCATGATTGGAACTCCAAGGCTCCTCCTTTTAATATCTCGCGCATTAGCCCCATTGGTGTCGCTACTCAAAAATGTTCTGGCAAAAACGCCTTGTAGTCGACCTTTCGTCCCAACACAATTGCTCCTTTCCTAGCATTAACAGCACTATCCCATTGGACGAATATTTACTTAACTACCACGACATTGATCAAGAGATCTCTCTCATAAAGATAGCCAGTCGTAACACCTGGCTAGCCAAAGAAGATATTTCCCCTACCTTTAAAATCATGCCAATCCACCCAGACTTCTGGCACCTTTTGGCATTTATTGGCGAAATCAATTCTATTTTTCGGATGCAAAAGCAGCCCAAAAAATATTTGACATGATGTCAGAAGCTTTATGCTGGATTCTGTCTAATATTTACGAAATACCATACCTCATTCACCTTCTAGACGATTTTCTTATTTCCCCCCCGTCATCTCCTCCAGCCAAACACCTAGCGATCACCCAGCAGGTTTTCGCTGATCTCGGAAGGACCCAGTACTTCAATCGAATTTCTGGGTATTAATCTAGACTCGCATAAATTCCAAGCATCCCTTCCTAAAGAGAAAATCAATCGAATAATTTCTCTATCCCAAAATTTCCTTGAAAAACAGATGTGCACACAACGAGAACTCCTACCAATTCTCGGCCATCTAAATTTCGCTATGCGCATTATT